AATATTCTTGTGTTTATTTTATTTATTATTTATTGTTTTTTATTTTTAGTTATTTTTATTTTAATACTGATATTTATTTTTAATTTATTTATTATTTTATTGTATTATTATTATTATTTTTACTTTTATTTTTACTTTACAGTATTTTACAAAGAATTTAATTCGATCGTATTCAACCTAATATAATTCTATTTTATTGTATTCAATTCTATCCATTTCTATAGAATTTTATTCAATTCCATTTAATTGTATTAAATTTTTCCAATTATATTCAATTTTATTCAATTATATTCAAATTTATTCAATTCTATTCAATTCTCTACTGTTAGCAATTTGATTCGATTCAATTCCATTCTACTTAAATCAATTCGATTCTATTCTTTTTTTCGATTTAATTCTTCTGAATTATATTCATTTGTGTTGAACTCAATTCTGTTCTGTTAGTTTCAATTCTATTTAATTCAAGTCATTCTAATTCCATTTTATTGAAATTAATTTTATTAATAAATTTTTTTAAATATAATTTTAATAATTAATTTTATTAATTCCACTAACTGAAGTAGTAAAACATGATAAAATATAAAAATAAATATTAATAATTGAACAAATAATTAATAGAAGACAAAAATTTGACAAACTTTGTAAAAAAATTCATGTCTAGTAGTAGAAGTCAATTTCCAGTCAGACTTAAATTTTTTTCCTTTGAATTTTAGTATTTTTTTATTAGTATTTTTTTTATTGAATAAAAATACCGAAAAGATCATAGAAGATAAAAATAAAATAATAATTATAAAAAAAATTAACAACAGAAGACAAAAATTTGTTGAACTTTAAGAACATTTAATATCAAGTAGTAAAAGTCAATTTTTAGTCAGACAAAAATTTTCCTTTTTGTTCCAATCACTTTTAATTTAATTAGTAATCAATTTACATAAATTGACAAATTAAATTATAATAAATAAAGGTAGATTTGGAATTTTAGTTCAATTATGTCTAAATTAATTCGAATCTATTTAAAATTTAATTCTTTTTTATTCAAATTAATTCAAATCTATTGGAAATTTAATTTTTTTCTATTCAAATTAATTCGAATCTATTGAATTTAAATCTTTTTTATTCATATTAATTTGATTCTATTTAAATTAATTACATTCTGCTCAATATAATTCTGTTTTATGCAAATTGATTTCATTCTATGCAATTTTAGTCAATTCAATTATTTACTTATAATATAAATAATAGTAGTATAAATAATTTTCAGTCTGACTGAACGTATTTGAGGTTTCGTTTTTATTTTTCAATGTAGCAAAAAATTCTGAAAGGTAGAAATAAACCTGTTAAAATTTAAGAGAAAAAAAATTAATATCAAGTAGTACAAGTCAATTTTCAATCAGACGTAAATTTTTTTCGTTCCACTCCCTACGAATTTAGTTAGTACACAATTTTCCAAAATTCTTAAAGCAATTATCAACTATAAAGAGAAAAGAAAAAGCAAATAAAACTACATTTCCAAAAAAAATGGACTAATTTCAATTTTGAAAGAGTATTAAAAACAAATCGTTCCTTTTTTTGATTGTTCGCTCAATAATTTTTTCCCAAAGAAACAGTTTATATTAGTAACGCAAAAAAAAAAGAAAATACAGCTAATAACCATCTAGTTTTTGAATTTCAATTTGCAAATATTCATTTGAATGAAAACGTAACCGTAGGTAATTACTTGCGCTCAATCCGGATACAATCAATTTAGTATGCGTTATAACTCCCACAGCTGCTACTGTCCCGTGTTGCAAAACCCTGTGTGTCCCCCTCCTCCCTCCCCCCCTCACACATATACCCACATTTCCGCACTAACGCCATCGGCCACGAAAGTCAAATATTCGATGAAATAGCGAAGCGTATACGCAAATCTCGAATTCATATATTCAATTCATAGAGAAACCTTTCCGCGAAAAGGATGAATTACGAGCGACGAGGGAAAGTCGATAACGCAGAAAAGGTGGATTTGCGTTTAAACATAATCGAAATATGCCACAGAAATAAAAAAAAAAAAAAACAACGGTTTCATTGCCATAAAGAAAAGCGAAAAAAAAAAAAAATTCTCGGTGTAAGTTATAAAAAACAATTTCAATAAAAAAAGAAACAAGTCCGACTTAATGAAAAAGTATTTTCAATTTTCCAATTTTTATTTAATAAGTTTATCTGTTTATCTAGAAGTAATTATAATTACTGTATAGAAACTTTAGACAATTTCTTTTTTAATCCATTTCAACCGTTATTTAATTATATTCCATTGACTCTATCTCTTATTCTATTATTTACAATTTTCAAAAATTAAATTAAAAATTTAAACGAATAGTTATAAGTTCATTGAAAAATTGCTGCAAAAAACAATTAAAATTTTATGAAATTGAGGAGTAATGGAAATAATAGAATTAAATTAATTATACATTGATAAGAGAATTATTTTGATCAAATAAAATTTTACTGATCCAATTAAAAGCTCTACTTGTCTGTTATCCGTTGAATGGGAATTTTATTAAAACTAATATTTTTAACACATGTTTTTACATTTGAAAAAAAGAAAGAAAGCATTAAAATAGGATAAATTATCGCCTCATAGATAAATAGTAATTTATATCAAATTCAAATTATTTAAAATTTAAATTTTAAAAATTCTGTAATTGGAACAAAATTCAAAGTACAATATGAAATTATTTATCTAGTAAACTAACTATTCAATATGAGGCTTAAAATAGCAAATAATAAATTTACAAGTAATATGGACGTCAATTAATTAATTTAATTAATTTACTTGTCTTAATTAAAGTACATTTGATTTAAACAAGTTTGACTAACAATTTTTTTAATATTTAAGTAAAATACACATTTTTAGATCCAAATAAAAATAATTTAATCAAGTAAAGGTTTTTCAAATAATTGATGTCATATGTAATTAATTTAATAATTAATTTAATAATAATCCTCGATCCGTCATTAATTCATTTATACCGTTCACACATGAAATTAGTTATTTTCGTATATGTTTGGTTTTTTTAGGTCTTGACATTTGAAATTTAATGATTTTTAAATAATTTTTTTTTACAATTTTTAATATTTTTCCTTTGAAAAAGACTATTTTTAAAAAATTTATAATTTTCTAAAAATTACAACAGTAATACTTCCAAAATTGAATTCGTCAAATTGAATTATATTCAAGAACTGTCTCAAAAATCTTTCAATATTAAATTGTAGAAAATTTGAATTTTAAACTATTTTAATTTAAAATTCTGAAGAATTAAAATTTTTTTAAAATTTTGATAAGAAAATTGTTTAAAATTTCAAAAATAATAAAATTTTATAATTTATGTGTTTACAACTTTTAAAAATAAATAAACTTTCTATAAAGGTTTCAAAATTGAAATTGTGGAAAATTTGAATTTTAAATAAATTTTTAATTTAAAATTCTGAAGATCTTAGTTTTTTGAAAAATTTGTATGTGGAAATTGTTTTTAAATTGTTTGAAATTTCAAAAATAATTGAATTTTATAAAAGGTGCGTTTACAACTATTAAAAAAAAATTGAATTTTTTAAAATGTTTGAAATTGAAATTGTAGAAAATTTGAATTTTAAAATATTTTGATTTAAAATTCTAAAGAATTTAAATTATTTAAGAATTTTGATAAGAAAATTGTTTTTAAATTGTTTAAAAGTTTCAAAAATAATGGAATTTTATAATTGATGCGTTTACAACTTTTAAAAATAATTAAACTTCCTATAAAGGTTTCAAATTAAAATTGTGGAAAATTTTAATTTAAAATTCTGAAGAACTTAGTTTTTTGAAAAATTTTAATGTGGAAATTGTTTTAAAATTGTTTGAAATTTTAAAAATAATTGAATTTTATAAAAGATGCGTTTACAACTATTAAAAAAAATTGAATTTTTAAAAATCTTTTAAATGGAAATTGTAGAAAATTTGAATTTTATAATATTTTAATTTAAAATTCTAAAAAATTTAAATTTTTTAAGAATTTTAATAAGAAAATTGTTTTTAAATTGTTTGAAATTTCAAAAATAATTGAATTTTATAAAAGGTGCGTTTACAACTATTAAAAAAAAATTGAATTTTTTAAAATCTTTGAAATTGAAATTGTAGAACATTTGAATTTTAAAATATTTTGATTTAAAATTCTGAAGAATTTAAATTATTTAAGAATTTTGATAAAAAAATTGTTTTTAAATTGTTTAAAAGTTTCAAAAATAATGGAATTTTATAATTGATGCGTTAACAACTTTTAAAAATAATTAAATTTCCTATAAAGGTTTCAAAATTGAAGTTGTGGAAGATTTGAATTTAAAATTCTGAAGAACTTAGTTTTTTGAAAAATTTTGATGTAGAAATTGTTTTTAAATTGTTTGAAATTTTAAAAATAATTGAATTTTATAAAAGATGCGTTTACAACTATTTAAAAAAAAATGAATTTTTAAAAATCTTTTAAATTGAAATTGTAGAAAATTTGAATTTTATAATATTTTAATTTAAAATTCTGAAAAATTTAAATTTTTTAAGAATTTTAATAAGAAAATTGTTTTTAAATTGTTTAAAATTTCAAAAATAATTGAATTTTATAAGAGATGCGTTTACATCTTTTAAAAATAATTGAATTTTCCAAAGGTTTTATATTTACATTGTGAAAAATTCCAACTTTAAAGAATTTTAATTTAAAATTTAGAACTTAGTTTTTTAAAAAATTTATATATAAAAATTGTTTATAAATTGTTTGAAATTTCAAACTTTTTTGATAAATAATTAAAAATAATTTATATAGAGAAGAATTATTAATAAAAATTCTAGAACGAATAAGAACTAATTAGCAAATTTCAAAATCAGATTTATGTACTAAAAATTGGAAATAGAAAAAAAATTTAAGATATAAATTAAGTTAACATTTTTTCTTATTTTTATAAATTAAGAAGTTGTAAAATAATTTTTTTCTACTCACGTTCTTGTTCATCGTTGGAATGATTTTTCTTATGATGAGTCCGATGATGATGGATTTCGGGAATAGGAAACTTTCGTAAATCGTTGAAGTCCTGATGATGTACATCAATCAATGGATTCTCCAATTGAGATTCAACTTCTAATGTTGTCGAATTATCAGGATGTGAGATGTATTTCACTGTAAATGCGTAGAAATGAGTTTTTATACATAAATGTATTAAAAGAATAAAAGAAAAGGAAGATAAATAAATAAGATAAAAAGAAAAGATGAAAAAATCAGATTTTGTATATAATACAAATATTTATTCAAATTGACTGATTTCTGGTATACTAGTAAATCTTGTCATCAATTTGAAGGGTGATTCCAAACCTCCCCCTTTGTTATTTACTTTTTTTTATTTTTTTCTTTCCTTGTATCATTTTTATTGATCACCCTTCAAGTCAATGACACGAAGGACAAATTTTCTGCCTAGACAAAGACGATAGCTGCATTATCTTTTCAAAGAAGATAGATCTTCAAAATGGGAACCTAAGATATTTAATCTTCAGTAAAATATCACTGGATCAGTTTTGTGACATTTTACTGATTATTGACATTTAATATCAGGAATTTCTCTCCTTTTATTCTGTGATTTTTTGGGAAAATTTCAAAATAATACTTTTATTTAAAAAAAAAAAAAATTGGAAAGAAAGTTGGTAAATATTTTTTTTTTAGTTTTTAACATTTTGGAATTAAATATTCTGTAATATTTACTTTTGTAAATAAATCCCAAATTCTCAAACTATAATTATAATTATATTTTATTTTTAATATTATATTATTCTAAAATAATAAAAATATTTTAATACTTTGTGATGTTTTTTCCTTCCTATAATTTATTATTAAAAAAATATAATAGTAACAATTATTATATTAATTGTTATAAATGACCATTGTTTATAATTTTTATTACAATTAGATATTTGCTGTACCTTTTTCCATGTTCGATGGCAAAGAGGAAAAAATTATATTAAAAAATCAATGCCTGCGGAATATGACTTCACTGGAATAAATTATTTAACTCAAATAAATCGTTTCTTTTTGCTATAATTAAATTTAAATTTGAACAAATGATTGTTCAAATCTCTAAATTTGAATCAGTCAAAAATAACTGATTTAGAATCATAATAATTAGTCACTGATTCAAGTAACTAAATTTCTATTTGTCATTTAGTTAAAAATCACTAATAATTATGAATTACGTTTTTATTAACTAATTTAATTAATCAAATTTGATTCTAATTTTATAGTTATTTTTTTATGCTAATTTATTTTTTACTGAAGAAAAATTAATCATTTACCGAGAATCAATTATTTTTTATCTGAAAATTAATTATTTCGTCAGTATTGTTTTTTAATAAAAATTAGAAATTTGTCACAATAAATCAGTAAGTTTTTACCATCAATTAGTTAATTGCTATCAATGTTATTTGCTATCAATCAGTTAATTTTACTGTGAAGTAGTTATTTTTTTAGTGACTTGCTGACAATTTTTATTGTTAATTATAATTTTCATTATACTGACAACTGAATATTTTTTACAGTCTATCATTAAATTTGTAATCCATCAGAATTTGAAAATAATCAAATATATAAAGGATAATTAGTTATTTTTTATTGTCAAACAGACATTGTTATTTCCTAATGATCAGTTTTTTTCAAACTGATATTATTATAGTAACTTATATATTACTATGCAAATTATTTATTTTTTTACAGATATTTTTTACTGACAATTAATTATTTTTTAAAGAAAATCTAATATTTTTTATTGTTGATAAACTGTTCACTGGCAAACTGTTATTATTTACTAACAATTAGTTTTTTTTAGTAAAAATAGAATATTTCTTACTGACGAACAGTTCTTTTTTACTGACAATTAATTATTTTTTAATTAAAATCAAATATTTTTACTGTTAATCAGTTTTCCACTTTTGCAATCATTAAAAAATAACTGATTGGCATGTAAATCTGAACGAATATTATGCTTCTACAATCAGTGAAAAATTTAACTGATTGCAGAACAAAAGATTTAACTGGCAATCAATTATTATTTTTAACTGATTGCATAAGCAAAATGTTAATCAATACTTAATCTGACAATCTCTTATTTTTTTCAATGATTGCAGAATCAAAAACGAACCCAAAATTTAACTCACAAACAATAATCAACGATATAGTTAAAATAAAATAGTTTTTTTTTATTCTAATTGCTAAATCAAATGCTATTTATTACTCTTGCTAATACAAATTATAGTAAAAGATCCGAAATATTTGAGTTAAAGTCCCTTTTCTCCTTTCTCTGCACCTCCAGTGTTTTGCACCGGAAAAAAAATTATTCTTGTTTTTAGAGGAAATTTCCACTTCTCAAATCCTCTTAAATTTTATTCTTGAATTAAGAATATTACTTTTATTGAAGAGTATACTCTAAATCTGAATCAGAAAAAATTTCACTGATTTCAATTCAGTGGACGAATTTTCTTTAATTCGTCAGTGGAATTTCACTGGGAATCAGTAAAAACCACTGACTGTCAGTAAAATTTCACTGATTCATCAACGAAAATTCGTCGAATTGAAATCAGTGAAATTTTCATTGATTCAGATTTAGATTTAGTTTAAACAATTTATTATATTGTTAATTTATAACAATTCCATAAACAAAATAGAGAAAAGCAAATTTCTATAAATTTGGCGGCTTTTATTGGCATTATTTAATGTTAAATCAATAAATGAAATAAAATATTAAATTAAATTTGCTATAGTTATTATTTAGCATTATTTAAATAAACAATTATTGTTATTTATTAACTTTTTTTTTCATTGCACGTAGAAAGACGCAGTTTTTGTCTAATTTTGCAATTTACGGAGATACTTATCATAATCAATAAATATTAAATGTCAAAGTCGATTCGCCCATGGTTCTTTTCTTTATCATATTTAATAATAATAATTGCTAAAATAGCGATTTAACATTTTATATTTATCTGTTATTATAAGTGGGTACAAAAATTGCAAAATTAGAAAAAAAACTGCATCTTTTTAGGTGCAATAGAAAAAAGTTAAAAAATAACAATTATTTGTTTAAGGGGTTACATCTACACGGAGAAACATGATTGTTACGTTGACAAAAAGATTGTTAATACAGAACTAACAAATTTATTTTGTTGTCCTAAAAATTCAAATTTTTTCTAATAGCAATAAATCTGTTAAGGTAACAAGAAATTTTGTAATAACAACAAACGAAATTTGTTAGTTCTATATTAACAATAATTCCTTTTTCTCTATGTAGTTAGAATTTTCAAAAAATCGATTTTTTTTTATTTCATTTTCGTAATGTACATGTATTTAAGTAAACACTCTGAAAATTTAAAGTCAAATTAGACAAACATTCAAATTAGAAAAAAACTGCGTCTTTCTAGGAGCAATGGATAAAAATTAAAAACTTAATAAATAACAACAATTGTTTATTTAATTACCAATATTCCACATTGTATATTTTTGTAGAGTTTTCGATAACTTTTAAAAAACTGTTAAACTGGTACCAACTCCAATTGGATTTGGTAACAGTTTTTTATACTTATTAATATTATTTCTTCATTGTTATATATTTTTTTATTTTTTATTCTTTTTTTATTAATTTTACTCAGAAAAAAATCCTTAGTTGATAAAAACGGTTAAACTGCTACCAACTCTAATTGGAGTTGGTAACAGTTTTTTATATACTTTATAATATTATTTCTTCATTGTTATATATTTTTTTATTTTTACTTCTTTTTTTCACTAATTTTACACAGAAAAAAATCCTTATAGTTGATAAAAACTATTAAACTGTTATCAACTCCAATTGGAATTGGTAACAGTTTTTTATACTTTATAATATTGTTTCCTTATTATTATATTTTTTTAATTTTTAATTTATTTTATTAATTTTACACGGAAAAACATTTTTATAGTTGATAAAAACTATTAAACTGTTATCAACTCCAATTGGAATTGGTAACAGTTTTTTATACTTTATAATATTGTTTCCTTATTATTATATTTTTTTAATTTTTAATTTATTTTATTAATTTTACACGGAACAAAATTCTTAGATGATAAAAAACTGATAAAATAGTACCAACTCCAATTGGAATTGGTAAGTTTTTTATACTTTATAATATTATTTCCTTATTATTATTTTTTTTAATTTTTAATTTATTTTATTAATTTTACACGGAAAAAAATTCTTATAGTTGATAAAAACTATTAAACTGTTATCAACTCCAATTGGAATTGGTAACAGTTTTTTATACTTTATAATATTATTTCTTAATTGTTATATATTTTTTTATTTTTAATTCTTTTTTTACTAATTTTACACAGAAAAAAATCCTTATAGTTGATAAAAACTATTAAACTGTTATCAACTCCAATTGGAATTGGTAACAGTTTTTTATACTTTATAATATTGTTTCCTTATTATTATATTTTTTTAATTTTTAATTTATTTTATTAATTTTACACGGAACAAAATTTTTAGATGATAACAAACTGTTAAAATAGTACCAACTCCAATTGGAATTGGTAACAGTTTTTTATACTTTATAATATTGTTTCCTTATTATTATATTTTTTTAATTTTTAATTTATTTTATTAATTTTACAAGGAACAAAATTCTTAGATGATAAAAAACTGTTAAAATAGTACCAACTCCAATTGGAGTTGGTAACAGTTTTTTATATACTTTATAGTTTATAATATTATTTCTTCACTGTTATATATTTTTTTATTTTTACTTCTTTTTTTCACTAATTTTACACAGAAAAAAATCCTTATAGTTGATAAAAACTATTAAACTGTTATCAACTCCAATTGGAATTGGTAACAGTTTTTTATACTTTATAATTTTGTTTCCTTATTATTATATTTTTTTAATTTTTAATTTCATTTATTAATTTTACACGGAACAAAATTCTTAGATGATAAAAAACTGTTAAAATAGTACCAACTCCAATTGGAGTTGGTAACAGTTTTTTATATACTTTATTGTTTATAATATTATTTGTTCATTGTTATATATTTCTTGATTTTTATTACTTTTTTTATTAATTTTAAACGGAAAAAAATCATTAGCTGATGAAAAATGTTAAACTGTTACCAAATTCAATTGGAGTTGGTAACAGTTCAACAGTTTTTTAAAAGTTATCGAAAACTCTACAAAAATATACAATGTGGAATATTTGCAAAATTTTCACGGAATTTCTAAACAATAATAAATTGTTTAAACAAACAAATGAAAAATTTATAGTAACATTAATAAATTAGATTACTAGGCAAGAAAAAACAATTATAGTAAAAAATTTAGATAATTTCAGGGTTTCTTTAATATGCAATTGCAAATGGAAAATCATTGTAGGGTAAAAAATACTCTGTCTTACGCTCGGCGTTACAAAGTTAAAGTTGAAGAGGGAATAATCCTCTTAAAATAAGAGGACAGTTTTTAAGCCATATTCAAGAGAAAAATATGCGAGATCCACTTAAAACAAGAATATTTTTTTTCACTATGTAAAACAGACAAGCAAAAAAAATGTCGATTCATTTTCATGGAGGATCAGTGTCTTTTTGGTCATAATAAACTTACGAACCTTGCCCGACGAATTCGTCGAATGCGGGGAGATCGAGGAAACGATCGACGGGTAGACGGTCGATTCTGAATTCGTCGAGATCGTTGTCAAGATGATCGATAATCGCCCCGTGCTCGTAGGTCGGTCTTGGTGCAAATTTCTTGGTGCCATGTGCATCCGATGGTGCAGGATTGGTCTCATCTACGGTGGGTGTAGGACGTGCTGGTGGTGATACAAGAACGGGTGGTGGTGCTTGTGCAGAAGGTGGTGGTGGCAGTGCAGGGTAATCGTCATGATGATGACGGTGACGGTGTTCTTGGTGCATATCCACGGTATCATTGTGCCGTAGAAGTACGCCATGCTGCAGGTGCTCGGTGCTTGAGGCGCGATCATGCTTGGATAATGATTCTGATGATGATGATGAAGATGATGATGATGATGATGATGATGGGGAGAAAGAATTTGATGGGGGAAAAGAATTTGATGGGGTGAATTTGGAATATTTTGAAAATGGAGTCGATGATAATGAGTGGAGAGAAGTGTCGCCATTAATTTTTGATTTCTGTAAAGTCCCACCCTCGTGAACGGACCATTTCCATAGTTGCTCACCGTCTTTGATTCGATGATGAGTCCCGGCGAAACCCTCATGAGACGTTCGATCCTCGTCGGGATCTGGATATGGATCGAACGTCTCGGGATACGTCTTGGGTTGTCCGGGACTACCTGGTAATTCGGGTACCTCATGATAACGATGTTGTGTACGATGATGACGTGCACCATCGAATTCGAAGTCAATCTCGTTGCCCGTGTTACGCGTACTCGCGGTTCCCGGGAATAGAAAATAGGGATACATACTGGTCGGAGGTAACCAGATCTCGTGGAGGTTCTCCTCTTGGGGATTGAAGGGGTAGAGTGCCGAGTCCGTGCCCGAGAGATCAATGGACGCGGAGGAGGGCACAAATTCTGAAACAGAAACAGAAACGCGACCGAGAAAGAGGTCAGTGCTGTACTAACAGAAAAAAAAGGGAAAATAAAAAATACTGAAAGGGTTTTTTTGTTGTGTTTTTTTTTTTTTTTTTTTTTTTTTTTTTTTGGCGATTCCGAACTGGCGTCTTCTTGTTTCTAGGTCGGAATTTGTGCATCCGCTTATGGCATTTATTAATAGAGGCTAAAAAAAATCTGGCGAATGATAAAAAAAATGTCAAGAGGTAAAATAAAAGAAAATAAATATTTTAAATAAAAAGGGAAAAAAACAAAAAGGGGAAAAAGAAACAAAAAAGGACGGAGAAAGACATAAAAAAGAACTCAAAAAAAAGAGAAAGAATCAAAAAAGAAAAAGGAATTAAAACAGGAATAAAAAATTAATTCAAAGGGAAAATTATCAGGAAAAAATCCTCGAGAACTTTCGTTTTGATTCCAGATAAATAAATTAATCTCAATGAAGAATCAGACGGACAAGCAAATTAAAAATTATTCTAATCACATAATCTTGTCGATTAAGGGGAAGGTACACCTATATTTTTAACTATTTTTAAAGAAATATTTTAAATATTCAACAAAATTATTTTTAAAGTAATTTTTTGTGAAGAATTCAATGGTTATAAAATAAAATCGGTCAGAAAATATTTTCACCCTTTTCGAATTTTTATTTTTCTTCAAAATCGGTGGATTTTGAAATCCATACGTAATTTTGTAGAAAATATGTTTTTGAATCCACGAAAAAATTTCCAAATAAAAAAATTGATTTTCATAATTTTTTTAGAATTTTTTTGAAAAACAATCTCTGTTTTTAGGCAGAAGCTGCTGAAAAATACAATTATTCTTCTTTTTTTTTAAATGAAAACTCATTTGTTTATTTTTCTAACTAATTACAGATCATAATTTTTATATTGTATAAAAATAAAAATACAAGAAAAAATTAGGATAAAATTGTGATCTGAAATTAGTAAGAAAAATAAACGAATAAATTTTCTTAAAAAAAAAATTAAAAATAATTGTATTTTTTTAACATTTTCAGCCTAAAAACAGAGATTTAAAAAAAAAGTGATATAAAAATTATGAAATTGAATTTTTTTATTTGGAAATTTTTTTGTGGATTCAAAAACATATTTTTTACAAAATTACGTATGGATTTCAAAATCCATAAATTTTTAAGAAAAATAAAAATTCAAAAAGGGTCAATATTTTGTTTTGACCGTACTTATTTTATGAACATTGTATTAAAAATAATTGAAATTCTGCGATGAGTTTTATCATTTATAAAAATAATTCAATCCCTAAGAAGAATTTTATTTTACTTTTAAACAATATTTAATTTTTGCGAAGAAAATTATTACTCTTGAAAATAATTGAATTTCTGCAATAATCTTTAACTCTTACAAAATTGAATTTTTTTTGTCTTTTTAATTCTCATAAAGAATTTTATCTATAAATTTTTAAATAACTAAATTCTTTTGACGAATTTTCATAAAATTTTTTAAGAATTTTTTTGAGGAATTCGATTAAAATTGTATTATTTAAAAATAATTGAAATTCTGCAATGAGTTTTATTATTTATGAAAATTGGACTAAGTTTTATTGAAACTTTTTGTCTGATTCTTTCTTATTGATAGTATTTATTTTTTATTTATTAAATAAATAAAGTCCTATTTAATAATACCCTTTTTCTATTATTTATAGTTTTAAATAAAAATTTGACATTAATGTAGCAAAGAAAATTGTAAATTAAAAATTGAAAATCATTGATTTAAAAAATAAATTGAAAAATAAGATTTGAAAATCAATGACTTAGAAACAAAAATTGAAAATAGAACATTATTGATTTCAAAATTAAAATTGAAAATTAAAATTGAAAGTCATTGATTTAAAAATAAAAATTGAAAAAAAATTGAAAATTATTGATTTAAATACCAAAATTGAAAGCAAAAAAATAAAAATATTGAAAATAAAATATTTAAATAAAAAAATCAACGCTGCTCATAATTTTTTCCATTGAAAAAATATGAAATCTCCTGTTTCTGTTTTTGACATTTTTGCCATTAATTATTATGATTTATGAAGAAGCCAAAAAAGATTTAATAATGAAAAGGAATTCACCCCAATAACAATGGGTCGCTGTCGTGTTAAATCCGGTTGAAAGGACAAATTTTTCTTTTTTTTTACCTGCTTATACTAAAAGATTATACTGTCTTTTGTTAACTTTTGTTTTTATCTTCCAGTATTTTTCAACTGTAATTTTGTTCACTTTTTCAATTTCATTTTTTAAATAATCACTGATTCTATTTTCGAGTTTTACAAAATGAAAGAAAACAGGACAATTATTTTTCTGGTATTTATTTATATTTTGTTTTTCTCGAAAAAAATCCCTTTTCTTTTTATGATTATTTTCCCATTGGCTTATTTTTCTTCAAAATTCAAAGTTAATAATGATTTCGAAATAAATAATGAAAATTATTTTTAATAAATTATTTTCGTAATAAGCAGATAAATTTTTTATCTTTTTATCAAGTTACAAGAAATAATTTCTTTGGAATCAAAACAAAATTAATAAAAGAATATTTTGTCTGCAAAAGTGATGAAATTTTTTGCCACTTTAGCTTCATGGGAACGTAGGAAAAAAACGACGCTAGTCCGGACTCTGTTTATCAATTTGTATTTTGATCTGTGATTTGGAACAGGATTTTGTAGCATTTTTTTATGACTCTTCCCTACTCGGTAGTTTTTTTCCTCCACTTCAATGTAATTTTATACACAAATATTTTATACATAAATAATTATTACCCGAGTTGAACAAAAATTATTATAAATAAAAATTATATTTAAATTTTAAATATTTAATTAAATAGACAAATTATTTCAGTATTATTTTTTAACAATTGAAAAATTAAAATGAAGTTTCAATATAAAATAAAATTAAGAAAACTTTTGCAAATTTTGTTCAAAGGTTCGTTATAGAGTTAAAAAAAAATCTGTACTACACAAAAAAAAAATTACTAGTCTTATCTTAATTTCTGACAGAAAAGTTAGCGTACATGTGTTGTCTCAAGTTTAGAGATTTTTTTCTGTAAAAGCAGCAACTTTACGACACTTTTTCCTCAAGTTGTTTAATTAAAAATTCCTATCTTATACTCCTTATGGTTGATTGTTACGCTAAGATTTCAAAAAAAAAAAAAATGTCTCTCTTACCGAAAGTTCTAAAAATATTAAAAACTGCTATTCGAATCATTACTTTTTATTATTTTTTCAGAAAGTTGTATTTATATCTAGATTTTTTAAAGACAATTTTTTGGAATTTTTATGTTATTTTTAGTACTTTGAATAAAAATTCTTGATTTTCTCCTGAATTCTCTATGTCAGAATATATGATTATTATAATTATAATAATATTAAAACTACTTTTTAAAATTGCTAATTTTATTTTTAAAAAAAGTGAGTGGGAAGTCAGTTGCTAGTAAATAATTAAAGACAACTGTAAAAATTTTTCGCGCGGCAGAAGTAAGTAAGTAAAAGTAAGTAAAACAAAAAAAAAAGTAGAAAATTGTCCCTCAACCCTTATATAGATTTTACGGTTCGTTTAACTTTCCGACATTTTCCACTTGACTGTCCCGTTCGATTGTCATGGGCGTTGACTCGAAGAGGGATTTGTGTATACCTACACAGTACGACTGGTTATATTTCCAAAGTCTGAGCAACGCCGGGGAAGATTGACGCACAGTAAACAAGCAAATTCTCAGGAGGAACTTAGCATTTTAGTATTACTGCCTGGGGCTTTTCTTTGACTTGAGAAATACGAAATTCAAAATTGAAGGAATCCACGAGAACAAGGCAACGTGATATCTCGACAAATACGTCATAACTTTTCTTGAATCTCAGGTCTATATTTACATATATACAAAGAAAAACGAATTTTCAAATCAGAACAAATATTTCCTTGCTTGTTTTTTTCTTCTTCTTTTATTTGCTTTTTTTCATGTCCCCGAGTGGAGAAAAAAACAAAAGGGTAGTAAATTTATTTTATTGTCTCGTTCATACTATTTTATCTCTTGAATAAAAAAAATTCTGCTATTATTATAATAATAATTATTATTACATTAAATAAATAAATTAATTATTATAATTTATAATTATTATTTACTAATAAAAATAAAAAAAATTCATCGTATTTTTTTAAACTATGTTCGAAAAATTTGTATTCTTTCGCAGGATAAAAATAGTACAAAAAAAAGAACGTATGAAAGTTTTTAATTTTCACTTAAAGTTTCAAATGATAATTGAAAATCGATAAATGAAAAATGAAAATTGAAAAATCATTGAAGCAAAATTGACAACCGATAAAAAGCATTGAGTCGTCAATTTTTGTCGCTCTTAAAGGTAAATGGCTAATAGACCGTGAGAAAAATAGTTGAAGTTGAGCCATTTCTTTCCTTTTTTTTTTTTTTTTGCTTTTTTTGCGAGAGTAAAATACTTTTTTTCTTTGAGTTTGGGAAGAGTCGTTTTAAAAAAGGAGAAAAAATGAAGGGAAAACTATGGAAAAAAAGAGAGAAAGAGACAGAGAGTAGTTAGTAAAAGTGTAAAGAGTGGAAAAGTCGAAACAGGCGCTAGAACAATGAAGAGACACGTGAAAAAAAAGAGTATAAGATTTGTCAGCATGCACAAACTACGAAGGAAAACTTGAGTAAGAATGAACATGCCAAATTCATGCTTTACAAACTTTTTTTTTTGTACTCTGCTCCAGTGTACGTCGGTATATTTAATATGTACAGATTTTTTTTTTGTTGATTTTAATACAATAAAAGAAAACGAAAATGTAAAAAAATACAAATTTTTTGTACTTATGAATTTTTTTAACATTTTCTTTTTCTTTTCTTCTTTTTTTTTTGATGAAAAGAAAAAAAAGTAGAAAAAATTCAAATTCTTTGTACTTATGAATTTTTTTAACATTTTCTCTTTCTTTTCTTCTTTTT